AAAAGAGAAACCAACCAGGAATCGGGAAAGGCTTCACGAAAGATAAAAGCCAGAAAAACGCTGTGCAGAATATACATGCGATTTTCGAGTTGTACGACTGCTTCAAAAACCGTTGATTGCTCAAGGAATAAAAGTTCGCTACAGATTGAAAACGGGTCTATTTGTCCGGAAACCAGAGAATCCAGTCCAGGAGAAGAAAAAATTCTAACAAGTATGGAACTCCCTTATACCACATTAATTATAAAATTATTGAGAGGCGTCAAAACTTGGACCCAACGGAATGGGATACACAGCAAGGATTATCATCTTCGTCAGGTTCGGTTGCACACAGCTAATGACCAAAATGGAATTACGGGTCGAGAGCCGACGATGAGCTCGAGACAGCCACCCACATAAAACCTATATAGGAGGAGGGGACGTCGGAGTTAATGGCGTCTGGACCCCGGGATGATGCTGAACTTTTGAAGGTTAATTCTATCTTTGTGGTTTTGAATTGGGAAGAGAGCTACCGTAATCCCGGGGTCGGAAATGATTGAGGAAAGAGGAAAGAGAGAACGCAATGGAGAGAGCGGGAGCGAGAACGTAAGAGAGAGAGAGAGAGAGAGAGAGAGAGAGAGAGAGAGATAGGGAGCGAGAGAGCGCACGAGAGAGTGGAAGACATATAGAGATAGAGATAGAGAATGATGATCGAGAGCGAGATATAGAGATTAAAGAGAAAGAGAAAAGGAGCACGAGATGGAGCACGAGCAAGAGAGAGCGCAAAAATTTGTCGTATTTGAGGGAGCAACGAGGCTTTGAAATGCTCACAGACGCAACCATAACTACAGTTTCCTATTCACGTATAAGTACCGGATTTTGAGCCCGTAATTCTATTTTTCGCCCCCGCTTAATAAGATTCCACGACCACCAATATCAACCACCCTCACCGCCTCGACCCAGAGCTATAATAGCAAGCATAGACTTGCAGCGCCATTTTGACCTTTGCCGTGGACCCGATCTTCATTAGATTCCCTCGAAAATGCCAGCCATATGACCACAAAAAGCACACTACTTTGAGCCCCATTTTTCCATCACTTTCCAAATGCCACCTTCTGGTAGGACCACCCAGGAATTCGTGGGAGTCAGGGCTGCCTGGGTGGGCCGCAATTACTATTTCGTGGATGATGAGGGGAGGCGGTTTTAGGGTTTCAGAAAGTTGCAAAAAAAACCCCAACGAAACGAATTTCGTCTGTACTAAGTACAGAAACGCCTAGTATCATGATAGTAAATATTTTTATTGTATTATATTCAAGATAGGATTTTTCGATTTATATGTGCAAAATCAGATACTGATGACACCATTCCCCTCCCCCCCGATAATGCAAAAAATCCATATTTCCGTTTTTAACAAATTTGGCGAGTGCTCACGGTCCTGCTGAAAGCGTCGCGTGTACCTGATGAGCATGATGGAACGATAATACAGTTTTTACGGGTTTGACGAATATGTTAAACATTCCAAAGCTTGACGATTTCGAAACATCGAATTCCGAAAGAAAGCAGGGAAAGAAAAAAGACAAGGCAAAAATGCAAACGACGAAACATGACGTATTTTCATGTAGTTTGTAGCTTTACGTGACTTTTGTAGCTGCTTGGCTGCGAATCCTGCAGCCACGCATTCAATTCCCATCGAAATAGCTTTATTCCAAAGCTACCGCCCAACGCAGGGGCAACAAAAAAATAAACGACGGGTGTTTTTTGTGGCTGAACATCTTGGAGGTGGTTGTGATGGCAGGGCTGGCATCGAGTTCGGGCGCTGCCAGTAGATGAGGTGTGACAGCTAGAGCTAGAGGTCCACGTGATACTCCATGGGTAGCAGCAAAGGGCAGCGCTCGACCTGGAAGCAATCGTGATCGAGGTGTTCGGGAAAGAGAGAGCGAAAGCGCGAGAGAGAGAAATAGCGAGAGAGAGAGAGGAGAGAAAGAGAGAGCTACAAAATCTTTACCCACCCTTTGCATATAGTCCCGCTCGCCACACTGTTCGATCCAATATGGGTGGTTGGCGGACGCGGCATCGATCAACGTCCGCATGCCCCACGACTCCTTGCTGGAGATATAATAAAATATTATTTCCGCTTATACCTATTTGTTAATGATAAAAAAATATAGTTTTGTAGTGTTTTTAGTGATTTTCGAATGGTAGAAAGTTACAAAAATTTTGTAGTCTTGGAAATTTCAGTCATTTTTCATACATTTTGAGTAAATGTAAAAATTGTCGAATATAGAAAAAATGTCTTTTGGTGTTTTTAGTGCGATCTAACTATATTTAGATCTTTAACAATAAACAAGGACTTAGCAAAGATTCGAAAAGCGCCTTTTTTTTGGTCGGAAATTCCATTTTTCTTGCATTTGTAGCCTCCGTGCGCTTTGTATCCTTAACAAAGTTGGCCCCCAATATGCGAAAACATCCTAAAAAACTTCAAAATTTGTATGTTTGCATCTCGTAATAGGATTTGTCCTCCCCCCGATAACAGAACAGTACTGACAATGGCAGGTCTTCCCTCAATAATTAAATTCTCACCTAGGCAAGGTCCTCGTGTACGAGTCGCACTTTTGTACGGCCCACGCGGCGAAGAACATGTCGCCGATGGTCAGCTCGCGGAACACGATGGTGGCGAGGGGTTTGTCGCCGTAGAAGGCAGGGAGAGGGTAGTTGCGGCGCCACGCTTCGAATGAGAGCTGGATGGCCGTGCCGTAGATGATCTCCTCCTCCTCAACGCCGACTTGCTCGAGCTGCTTCTCGCAGCCTTTCTGTAATTTGGGAGATCGTGCTTTTAAGGACGGGAGCGACAAGTGGTCCTGTGCTGTTAGCGGGGGAGCTCAGTTTTCTAAAAACTAAATAAAGCAGCCTTGCAAAATTTAAAAGATTTGCGATTTTTGACGATTTTCGAAGTTTTTTTATAATTTTTGATGAGCTTTTCGCATCAAAAACGCTCTCAAATGTCATAGAATTGGCTACTGTTACGCCGTAAGGCTCTACGGAATTACCGCGAAAAAATTAGCCCCCCCGCTAAGAATGCAGCCCCGGAAAATGGTCTCCAAACCCGCTCACGTCGTTGCCGGCCAGACAGAACGACTTGAAGTACTCGTAGGAGCAGTTGCGGGACTCGGGCACGTGATTCTTGTCGCGGGACGCCTTCAGGAACTCGATCGCGATCTCGGTGCCGACGGTGGAGTACTGTAAACAAAATTGTGGTGAAGTCGAGAAGTGGAACTGCTTGGGGATGTCGGGCAAAAGAGAGAGAGAGAGGTATCTTCAAAAACCCACAAAGATCAGTGGCGGGTACGCGGCCCTCTTGTCGTGTCCGCCGTGTTCCCACTGCAGATCGGCGATGCGCAGCAGCGAGTTGGCGTTGAGCAGCGCGGGCAAAACTCGGGACGCCAGGTCGCCGGTCCGCGAGTCGCGCAGCACGTGAGTCAAGCCTCACAAATTGGCTTATTGCCAAGGAACTGTTTTCCCAGCTACCCTTGATCATTTGGACGCCGTCCTCGCCATAGTCCCTCTTCAGATCCTGGCGAACCATGCGGGCCGCCACTCGGGCGGCGCCTAGCTAAAATTCGGGGTATCAGGGGGAACTGCAGGATTTTAACAAAAAAATTGCAGTTTAGGTCGGCAAATTGCACTGCTTTAGATACAAAAAAAAATAAAAATCTTTATAATTTGCGAAAATTCGACCACCTTCCGGAAGTGGAGCAGGCGGTGAGCTACTGATCCGGGGTTCGCCTCGTCGTCGGCGAGTTTCTTTGCGGTTGTGTTGCCCCTTACAGGGATAGTGACAGCTAACAAGGCACCAGTCTGCTACCTGTACAGCTTGTCGCGCATATCGTTGTATTTCTTGACCATGGAGGCAAGGCTTTGTTTGGCGTTCGCAGGCCCGGCGTACATTTGGATCTGTAAATTTCCCGTATTCCTTAACGAAATCCTCCCCACCATGGCCATCTTCTTCTTGAGCTGCTCGCGGATGTCGTCGCGCAATTTTTTCAGGCCGCCCCGGTTTGCGAACAGCTTGTAGTCGTACTAAAACTAGTACATGAACAAAGGAGTGCAAGAAGGATTACCGCGTCGAGGACACGGATGAACTCGAGCGTCATCTCGTCGTACATCTTGATGACGCGATCCGGGTCGTCGGCGTGCCAGCCCTGCAGGTAGCTGGCGGCGAGGAGGGTCTCGCCGAACGGCACGTCATCCTGGAGCAGACTTAGGCTTCGGTTTCGGCTTAGGCTTAGGCTTATGCCTAGGCTTAGCTTAGGCTTAGCTTAGGCTTAGCTTAGGCTTAACTTAGACTTCGCGCTAAAAACAGTCCCACCTCCAGGACCCCAACGAGCGACGGGCGATACATGCTGAAGAAGGGGGCAATCAGGCTGAGCGTCTCCTTGTCGTAGTAGGTGAGGTCGCTCTCAAAACAGATTTTGGGATTTGTCACCGAATGTCAAATTGTTTCTAAGTGGCTAATCTACCGTACCCTCGGCTTGTTCGGCCTGCTCGTCTCGAGCGGATTGGCGGCAGTGTCGGACTGGGTGAGGTGGTTCCTCATGTCAAAGTACAACGCCGAGCCCATGCCGTGTGTCGCCATGTCGATACCGGTTGGACAGACCTGGATGGGAAGTATCTCAACGGATAATACCACTCTCTCTCTCTCTCTCTCTCTCTCTCGAACGCGCGAGAGCAAGACAACGTGTGAGAGATCGATAGAGAAAGAGACAGAGAAAGACAGCGCAAAAGGAGAGAGAGAGAGAGAGGGCGAGAGAAAGAGAAACTCGTTCACCGTACATATCGAAACAGGCTGTCGCAGATGTATTTGTCTGTGCTCGCGCGCGTCACCTCGCGCAGATGACGCCCCACGTAGTCGTAGAGTCCCGTCGGGTCAAGACTGAAAAAAATTAAAGGTTTTCAATTTCAATCGAGTTTTCAATCTTCGATCTGCATATTCAAAACTTGAAAAATGGCTCACCCAGCAGCCTGAACCTGAACGGCGGCCAGGAGGACGAGCGCCGTCGCGAGGAAGCGCATTTTTGGGGGAATGACACTGACTTTTGAGCAAGAAAGGTACGACAAATCTGATGAATATGGATTGTGGGTAGTGAATGAAAATGTCGCATGCTAATTTGGTTTGCTGTTGCACCCCGCATGCAAATTAGAATTTTAGGTCCAACTGACTCGAAAGATTGTGCATCGAGACGGAGAAGCACATCTTTAAGGTTTCTGCTGCCGGCTCTTCATCTCTCTCTCTCTCTCTCTCTCTCTCTCTGTCTCTCTCTCTATCTCTCTCTCTCTCTCTCTCTCTGTCTCTCTGTCTCTCGGTCTCTCTGTCTCTCTCGCCCTCGCTGTCTCCCTCTATGTCTCTCTCTCTCTGTCTCTCTGTCTCTCTCTCAGTCTGTCTCCCTTTCATTTTCCCCAAATTTTTCTGAGGAATAGAAAAATATTTACAAATTTTTTCACTGTTCCGAAACGTAAGAACTTTGTCAATTCAATTTTTAAAATGTTTTTCAAAATTAGTTTCTGAAAGTTTTCCAAGATATTTTAATAGGTTTTACATTGTCAAATAAATAAATTTAGAATTATTATGAACATTTTAAAAATACCTGTTATTATTACGCTACTAGGTGTTTCTGGACCAATATAAAGATTCACTTTTCACCCCCAATAATGCAAAAGCTGCCTGGGCTTAGAATTGGTTTTCAAGAGGTGGGGAAGCTAAATTTTCCTGGAGTTTGACCTAGTAGATTATTTAGGTTTAATTTCGCGGAAATCTCCCCACCGTGTCCTCATCCCCCGTTATGTTGTTATGAGCCTGGGGGGTATTAGGCAATGTAGCGACCCTAAATCTCGATTATTAGAGATGGCAATCTATCCCTCAACCCCGAGCGCGTTCCACCATCTTCCCGCCACCCGCTCGCCACCCAAGATGATGGCCCTGTTTGATACCCAAAACAGGAGGAGCACGTAAGGGGCCGGGTATCCAAAATTCCGCAACGCACCTCATTACGTGGGCACACAAACATGCCCATTATTTATATCCGATCCCAGAGCCTCTTTTTCACCTTCCTTTATTTGCAGCCAGGCGATTATTGGACCATTACCGCATCTGTCACTACAGTAGCCTACAGTATTCCGTCGTATCGTCAAAATTTCCGACTAGCCGAAAACTAATTCTGCTTATATATGTTCCAATACTTGGGCTTACGCTTAGGCTCATGCTTAGACTTTAGCATAGGTTCGCTTGGTTCTGCTTGCGAGGTTGAGGTACATACTATGGTTACATACATTGATTCTGAGCCTGTGCTTAGGCTTCCGGCCTAGGCAAAAGCAGGCAAAGGCTTAGGGTTAGCTTAGGCTTTGGCTCAGGCTTAGTTTGGGCTTAGGCTTGGGGCTAAGTTTAGGCTTCGCTTAGATGTAGCTTAAGCCTCGGCTTCTTTTAAACTTTTTCACAAAATCTCATTGTTTTTGTCAGTAAAATATCGTATTTTGCTAGTGCTAAGGAACTAGCATCAACTCTTTAGATCTTTGCAGTTAATTTTAAAAAACCCTTACCGTTCCCTCGGTGACCTCCTGAAACAAATTTCGAATTCTAAAGCATAAAAATTTTAGCACCATGCTGCTCCGGGTACTCCATGGCCTTGTCATCTTACTTATCCCTTCCGTGGCCAGTTTCATGTTCGACAACGAGATTGTCGGAGAGCCGAAGGTATGAGAATTTCCCTTAAAGGGCTGGAGAAAGATGGCCAGCGTCGGTCGGGGTGACGGAACGACGAGACGCTACCATCGACGTAATTCATATTCGGAATTCGTAATTCTTATGCAGAGCCAAATTTCCGCGCAGGCCGAAGCGAGAAACCCGGAAGCGGCCTGTCAAAGTCCCCTAGGGTATTTGAGGGCTTTTCTGCGAGCAGGCCAGGTCGGCGCCACTGGTTAGCACGCTAGGCTGTGGGGCGAACCATCACTGGTTCGACACCCGTCCGCGGCAAAATTCATCGTTTTTTGGCCAACTGCATCTTTCTCGAGCCCTTTAAAGCTTTAGCCACATTTTCTTTACTTCTAGGTGGATTGCGAAGACACGATGCTTGCCTTGACGTTCAAGACTCGGAAGCCATTTTCCGGAAGGGTGTACGTCCAGGGGCTGTCAGATGATGAACGTTGTGCTCAGGGCTTTGCAAAGAACACAAATCAGTCCAGGTATTTGGTTTACGCGAGCTTAATCAAGTTGATAGGTAGAAAAGCTTTAGATTTGAAAAGCCCTGAAAACGGACCACCCTTTTTCGAAGCACTGGTCACTTGCACATTAAGTTAAAAAGTTAGTCAATAAACAAAAACAAAAACAAACGTAATTCTATTCAGATTCTCCTTGGTCGTTAACAATGGAGACTGCGCCATGCAGCGGCACCGCGTTAGCGGCAAGTTGGAGGTATTTTTTTTGGCCAAAATCTGTTCGGCTTGGCGCCTTTCTGCGAAAACAGCAAGTTCCCTCACATTTTGGTGCAGTATTTCACCGTTATTATATACCTTAATAAGTAACAACAATATGGTAAAAAAGTATCGGATGACTTTATACTTATGCCTTTTCGATCCCTTTAAAAGCGGATCTCAAATCTTCAGGGCCTCATGTTCTCCCTAACCATCGTCGTCTCCTTCCATGGTACGTTTGTGACGAAGGCTGACCGTGCGTATCGTTGCATGTGCTTCTTCAGATCTACGTCGATGCTCACGAATGCGATTGGTAAGAGAGACTCAGCAGGACCAAATTTAAAGTATTTTTGGAGAGCTCTCATTCACAATTCCTACGGACTATACTTTAAGCTCAAAACGACGATCTTAACTCGTATTTTTAAGAAATGTCCGGACTCGGAACCACCGAACTCGTCGAGGCAGCCCCGGCTCCAACCTGTTCATACAGTATCCGTCTCGGCAGCGTGGAGGGACCACCAATTGTGTAAGTCTTAGCTATTTCACGCATTCTCTGCTTATTTAAAACCGGTCTGGATCCAAAATCAACCTCTTTTTAGCGAAGGCGAGGTCGGCGACAATATTTTCCACGTGTGGGAGTGTGAGGGAGAAGCGCAGGGAATTCTTGTGCACAGCTGTAGCGTGACCGACGGAAAGGGATACAAATTCGACCTGGTAAGTCAAATTCTAGATAGTTAAGAACATTAAAAAATACTTCAGCTCGATGTTGATGGGTGCGCTATCGATCCGCTCATCCAGCCGGATCTACAGTACGACACCCAGTTGACCAGGGTTGGTAATTGGTAAATTATGATTTTCTGCCGGCCTTGCTGATCCCTTTAATATCTTAAAAACGAAGCTTAATGGGAAGAATATACCTTCAGGCTTTCACCGAGACGTCCGGCTACAAATTCTCGGATTCTCGAGTCCTCAACTACGAATGTGTCGTTGAGTTGTGCAAGAAGGAGACCGGAGAGTGTGAAGGTTTTTCACCGCCCGTAAGTTACCACTTATACCTGAGAATCCACAATCTTCAATAGACCTTTAAAAAGTTTGCTTTTAGACCTGTGGCCGATCCAAGCGTAGCATCGTCATGAGAAATGAGCCGGAAGTCAACAAAAAATGGGCGCGGTCTGGGTATTTAAAGATCAAAGTATGAACAGAGTATGTTTGATTTAGCAGGATCATGAAGCGGGAGCAGGAGGTGCTTCAAACTACGCTGACGATGAATGAAGATTTACCGGAGGAGATGGTCGACCCATTCGAGCTACAGAATATGACGGCGTTGGTGAGAAAATTCATTATTTGTCGAGAGCTTGCGATTTTCCACAGGTATTGTAACGTAATATACGTAGCAAAATATAGGGCGCGTATCGTAACGTACTAGGACCGTAGTAGGCGTATCGTATCGCACGTTATTCGTAGCGAATTGGGTCGGTCGGATCGGAGTCCTAAGGCTTTGATAGGCGCAGTTATCGTAAGCATCAAATCTTAGCGAGCTTTTCCTAAGCGTAGCAATACATTTTCATCTGCGTCATTTTCAGAGCATCACCCCAACTCCCAGCGCCCCGAACCCGGGCTTTGATGACGTCTTCCGGATTCTCCAGCGCGAGATTTGCATCCCAGTCACGACGCTGATCGCCTCAGCAGCTGCCTTTTCGAT